GAGAAATATTGCGAGGGAAACACGTAGAAATACCTAAAGTCTATTAACAATCTAATAAGACATGTATAAGCGTGGGTACAGGAAAGTATAATAATACAAATATAATACTTGTATTATATTACAAATCTCGCCGTGTGTACTGGCTTCAAAATATTGAAGAATTTTGCGAATATTTTATTAGGGTCTTAAAGTTTACCTAGTCTTCTTTCACTAAATTGTGTTGGAATTTTGAAGGAAATTCTGTTATTGCCAGTGCAAATCAGGTGCACGATTAGTAGGTAGCTGTGCTAGCTCATGTCGCCTTCCGTATTATGGTCTGCAGGCATCTACAGACACATCCCTAAACACTATCATACCTGACAATATTTGGATTGCCGAAATGAAACAGATATTGAAGACATAAGCGAGTGATTATCGACATAGTAACGTTGTAGAATTTTCTTTGACCACGGTTTTCAATATCAAATATACTTGTTCTGTCAATAAAATGTTAATTAAAATTACATTTATAATTTCTTTATTGCATAATACACCCAAATGGTCAAGCAATACAATACAAAATTTGAAAAAAACCCAGAGAACAATGAATGTTTATAAACAATAGGCACATTGTAAGTAATTTACTCAATATATGTTACACCGATGTGGACCTTTTATTTCTTAATATTCTAATGATTGTTTTATAAAAGTGCAAGTATTGGACTAAGTATATATTAAAGTTTCTGTGTGGGTGATTTGAGATAGAATGAGGAACAATAATTATCTAGCATGGTTTTTATAAGTATATTCCTTGCTTGAATATTACAATACATTGTAAAAAGAAATGAAATTCATTATTAATAGCATTACATAAAGTGCATAATCTTTACAGATAGTTTGTATTTCTTGGAATTTTCATGTTAACCTAGCAACTCAAATTTTTAGTTAAAATTTTATATTTCATTTCCGAATGTTGTTTATCTATACATGCATATAATAAAATATGCATCACCATGAGTACTACATACATGTGTACTTTAATTGTTTCACTACACATGTTTGTATTACTACGTACTACATGTACACTGAATTAAATGTAGAGTGACATTGAAGTCATGTAAACTAAATGTGAATCTTTCCTAAAACATACATTTATTCTTTGAATTGAAAAACATTCAGTATTTAAAACGAAAAATGATCAAGCTAAAGTAAAAAAAAAAGGGGGAGGCATTTTTTTTTATACATAAGAAAACTTTAAGATTGAGCTGATTCGGTGCTAGGCAGCAAATTTATGGATACGAATCATGAAAATGATCAATATGAATCGCCAAGAATCGTTTACTATTTGTGTGAATCATGAAACTACACAATCTCTCTCTCCTCCGTTAAAATTCATACTGTGGAATCAATCTTGAAATAATGTGCAAATGTTTACATTCCACTTCCATGCGATTTAAATATCTCCGCCCATTTGCGGGTACCTTAAATTCGAAAGTGGTCCAGTTCAAATTTCCGGAATTTAAGTCTTATACATGTACTTTTCAATGACATTGTGTAGAATTATAGAAATATGTCTAACAAAAAATTGAAGTATAAATATCAAACGCATATGTATGCACAACAATCATAGATTAATTTAGCAATATAGTCTAATTCAAGGCTTAAAATGGGTGGTTAAAAAGGTTCCAAATGACACTCTTAAGTGCACTCATTCTTTGTATCGTTTCATTGCATGGACTTTCGAGATTTAATACTGCTCGTAATCTTTATATTTCATTTAGGTTTCAGCTGACAAAGCTTGTAACAAAACAGTCTTTGTTTGGAAGTTTTCTTATTACAACTGCATTTTAGCAGAACTTGGTTTTAATTCCACATCCGATAATGCAACCTACACTTATAGTTCTTTTTCATTTTTCAATTGTATTTAAGAGGAACTAGGATTTAATTCTGCTATTGGTGATCCAACTTACACCCACAGCTCCCTTTATCAGGAGGAAATTCTTCAATTCTCCATATGTCAGTTTTAAATATTCTTAATATTCTCAACAAACAAAAGGTATATGGATTACTGTATTCCTAAAATCTATAAAAATCCTTAAAAACAAAGAAACATACATGTAGCGCGTTCCAGTAAATGTTCTAACAAGCCCCTTTCTTAAGTCATCAATAAAATATTACAGCAGTGCATGAGAAACTTCAGGAGTAGTGTACAACTGTATATTTGAGAAGTGGTGTAAATCAGATGTGGATACTTAAAAACTCCAAGGAACTTTTAGAAAATTTGAAATAACAAATTTTTACCAAAACCAATAACATCAAATCGTACTTTTAAATACTTTATACAACCATACCCCATGATAAATTAAAGGCCAGGCTTTTTGACATCATAGGCTTTTTCAATAAAAATGGAACTCGTAAATATGCTTACCTTGTCATTGGTCATTTGAAATATATTTTGTTAAAAATCTGAATGTACACACAAGTATTCTGAAATTGATATTAAAAAGATGCTTGAGTTTCTGATTGACAAAATCTATGTATTTTTTGGAGTCCCGGTCTTCCAGCAATCTGTTGGAGTTCCCATGAGTACTTATTGCGCCCTTTACTAGCAGACCTATTTTGTATTCATATGAAGCAGAATATATAAATTCAGAAACTTCTTCACGAGGAGAAGAAAACACTTTCTGTAGCCTTCAACATATGTTCTAAGTGTGATAATGTTTCTTTTAAAAGCGAGACAGACTGCTGCTAAATATGATGATTTATATGGTTTTAACATCTCGTTTATAATCAGCATTTCATATAATTTTGTTTGCATAGACGACCTTTAGTTAGGTCTTATTTTGACTTTCACGTTTCATACCAGCTATAAAGCCCTTGTTTCAGGGAAATAAGAGGCGTGTCTGGTCGACCGGCGATGACTACTCTGCAGATTTCATCCCTTCTCTAATGTGTCTGGGAATTCTGCGTTTTTGCCCTATTATAGGATTCATAGAATTTACCACTATTCGTTTCCCAGATCTTTTCAATTATAAATTTATTTAGGGCTGTCGATATCTACTAAATGCTCATCAGTAAATATACTTTCCTTTTCTCTCTTTGCTACGACGTTTTAGATTTGTAATAAACATGAGTTTGTACTGCTAAAAATCAAGAAATAAATTTGTTTGATAACTTTTTCTTTTTTTTTTTTGGTATAAGACTTAAACTATTTAATTTTTTGATTGTTTGTTGTTTAACGTCCCTCTCGAGAGTTTTTCACTAATATGGAGAAGCCACCACTTGCCGGTGGAGAGCTGCAAATTTTGACCTATGCTCGGCACTTAGGGCCATTGAGTAGTGAGGGATCTTTTTCGCGTCAGCACCTACTGCGACACGGGACCTCGGTTTATACGGTCTCATCCGAAGGACCGGTCTCCACGTCCCACAGTGGGATTCGAACCTGCGACGTAAGGATCAATTCCTTACTCCGCGACTCTAGAGCGAACGCTCTAATCACTGCTCCAAGCGGGCGACTAAACTATTTAATAAAATTACTGCTCTTTCACAACGACCCTGAATAAGTTTTTAACTCTTTAAGGTGTGAGAACATGGAATAACAGGAAATAAATTTTCAAATAAATTTAAATAAAATCAAATAAATTTTCCAATTTAAGCTGCTGAATACAAAGGACATCAAGTGCTGGTCATAGGAAATAGATACCTGAACATATTGAATTACATTCGGGAATATTTCCTTTTGGTTTTCTTATGCAAGATAGCCACAGCACAGTCGATCAAAATTACTCCATCGAGAAAATGAGCTATGACACGTTGCTTATTTCCTCTAGCATATGACGTCAGTAAGGCCCAGCTGTGCAATGTTTACAAACTGTCATGTCATTTTCCAGCGTGATTTTAGGAAATATCATAATCATGGCTAAAACCTTGTATAATTATACGATCTTCAAACAGGTTTGTATTTCTTTTTCAAAAATTTCATCGCATATTTGCAAGATGTTTGCGTGTTGTATCAATCAGTGTAATTTGATCGTTTTCATCGTTTGACACTTTGATCGATTAAGAGAAAGAGTAAAAGCGATCGAAAGAGAGTAAGAAGGAATGAATTCATTTTTTCATAACCAGGACAGTTGTTTTGATAAAATCATTTATTTACATGCATGTTGAGTGAAAAGAAGAAAACACTTGCTGTGGCCTTCATCTCGAGTTGTTGTGACGGGGAGGGTGACATAATTCTTATGTCTTATTTCAAAACGTATTTAAAATGGCAGAACATCTTTGAAAATTCACATGTCTTTATTGTATTTTTAAATCTTACATGTCCTTTTTTTATAAATAAAAAAAAATAAAAAATAAAAAAAAAATTACTTAATTACACTTGATTGAAATTGAGAGTGTTCATAATAGTAACGTAAATTGATTGTATCAAAGAGTATGACGTAGGCGATTAATGAGGATTAATGTGAAATCTTTTGTGGAAATCTGGAAGAGGAAGTTGCAGGACCCTTGTTTCAGGTGGAATATATATGTGTGCATATTGCATGCTGCCGCAAGTGATAAACAGGGATTAACTTAAAAATAAGATATTGTGAAAATGCATCAGATGAAGTCTGGCTTGGGGTGGAAGTGTTATTGCTCTGCTATAAATTATGATGAAGAGTGGAATTAACCTCAAATGTGCGGGTAAGTTGAAATTCTCATGAAATATTTCGTATACTAATAATACTATGGCCAGTCCCAAGCACTTTTTAAGTACGTCCAGATACGATGATTTTTTTTGTTTATTGAACAAATTGTGAATAAAAATTGTGATATGCACTTTCGCATCACTAATGTATTATTCGACCTGCTCAAAATCTTTCATCTACTCATATTGAGAAGGGGACAACTGACATCAAAACATTTCGTAAAAAGTATAAATCCTGATAATTTCAATCAGTAGAAAACTAATTTCCTGAAAATTTCCATAAGTCAGAATTTATTTAGTATGCAATAGACAATCTTATTAATTAAAGTTGACACAAGATGCAAAATTTTATTCAAATGCTTCAATTATAAATTGATTGAACATTGATCACTGCAAGTTTAATTTATTTGAAATATCAAGCTGTTTTGTCAATTTGCCAATCATGTGCCTTTTTCCATTCTTCCCTTAATTTTATCGTCCTACATAATCTGTAAAATACATAACTAAAATTGTATTTCATATTTCAGTCAAGATTGACTCTTGTTACTAGTGATAGTTAAAACTCCTCAATCTTCGAACAGAAAGATAATAACAATAAATTTTTCAAACACTGACAAACCAATAATTTCAAAAGTAAAGACAATCATTATGAAATGTTCCAACATAATATACATTCATTATTATATCTACATTATAGACATGGATAGATACTTACCGCCGGTTGCAATACGGCAGTAGCCGTGCGTATACGGGAAGTGAGACACAATTCTACAATATTCTCCGAGATGGCAATGAAAGTTATGATAACAGCAGCGACGATTATAGTGTTGCTGCGTTCCAAGAGGACAAGCTGAAATTAAGAAAGTTAGAATTACTACTAACTTTTCCAAATCATCAATTATTTTATATAATTCGATCTGCAGATTGAAATTTTCCCCGAAAAGATTATCGCATGATTTATTCATTTATTTATTTATTATATCAATGATTTATTTTTTATATAAATCTAGTTAAAATAACCCATTTTTGCATTTTTTCTGTTAAAATTAATTCTGTATTTATGCAAATGCATTCGCTTAGGAATTATTTCACGAGAAATTGAATCGCATTTAATTCTGCAAAGAACCTTCAAGAAAAATAAATGGAAGGAAATGGACGGAAAAGTAACTATTGTTATGTAACCTTCAGAGAGATCGTATTTTGCAGCAATGTTATTCATTAGAAATCGTACGCGTGTTTTCATAACACCTTGTAACAATTTGCTGACAGAAACACTTCTGGGCATAATTCAAATGTTGTAATTTGTCATATTTTTGTACCATTTTATTTTTTCGCAAGATAGTTTTATTGCATGTATTAGCAAGACAAAATTTTCACAAATTCTAATTTTTCTTCAATATAACTTTAAAAATACAATTATACACGGATGTAAAATCTTCCCTATCAGACTTTCAAAATTTGCAAAAAAATTCTCGCGAAAAAAAAGTGATTTATCATCATATCATATCAACACAAAATTGTCATTGACGCTGTAAATCAACATTGTCATTCATTATCTATCTAACTATAGTCCTAAGCAGTTCTGTAACTTTTTGTTGTTTTTTATTTTGTTATTACAAGGTTGATTAAAATTCTAAAATAGAACTAAAACAAGATTTACTGTGAAAAAGAAACAATTTCACGACAGAGATAGAGAGAGAGAGAGTAAAAAAAAAAGAGATTATACACTCACCGGTCGTCAGGGCCACGAAGCAGAGAAGAGTCAATACAATGAGAAGTTTTCCCATGTTGATGTAGGACAGATAACGAGATGATCGATATTGATGCCTTATATACAGTCACAGTACCTACATCCACCAATCAATGCGTTTTAAAAACTATTTCCTTGTTGAATATTTTTTTTATTTCGTCATAAACCTTGAGCACCATAAATAAATTGTGTCAAATCCAGTCTGATTTGCCTAATGTATCATTTTTTAAAAAAAAAAAGATTTCTTTTTATTTTTGCTTATACTATCCAGAGAGAAAGAAAAAAAGAGAGAGATAATTGTTTACAATGTCTATCTACCGGTTAATTAAGTTGCGTCCGAATGTTTTTTTAAGCCAATGATTTCAACAATGATCATATATGTAATTTTTATAAATATAGCAAAAGTGCCTTACAATTCAAATAAGAATTACTTGATGTTTTAGAGACTTCTACAGCTATTGACCACAAACTTCTTTAATCAGTAAAATATCGAAATGTGAAACAAATGATAAACAAGAGGTCAAAGGGCCTTAACGGTCAGAGATTAGTATAATGCAACAATTTAGAGGATACATAGAGTATAAAACAGACTGATAGATGAAGCTTTGTAGCCTAAAAGCAAGAGAAATAGGATGATCAGGATAAAAAAGTCTAGTATTCAGTCACAACTCATAAAGTAAGTTCTAAACTGTCCCCCATTTATCACTATCACCATGCAGACTATTATCAAACTACTAGAGCTTCCGTACTGTTTTTAACCCCATATCATAAGCTCTCATATTGTCCTCTCTTGGTCATTGACGGAAAATTAATAAGATATTTTATTTTTGTCTCATTTTTATTTATCTATCATTAACAAGTCTACCCGATCACTAAAACTATAAAGGTACTTTTTGTGTTACATGTATTCAATAAAAATTCTTGTGTAATTCAATTATTCTATTAACCTTTCAAATACATTATTTATAGTGTATCAATAGTGAATGTCAAAGGGGAATAACTTCACTCAATAGAATGAAATATATAAAGATAACGAACAGTATTCAGGCTCAAAAGTCCATTAAACAATTCAAAATAGGAGCAGAGTAAACACGGACCTCCAAACATCAGAGGTGGGATCACGTGCCATGGAGGGGTGAGCATCCCCTGCCGACCGGTCCCACCCGCCGTGTGCTTCTTGTCATGATCGGGAAACAACGGAAAAATCCGTCGACAATTCAGTGTGTAAATAATGGCCTAACAAATAGTATGAAAAAGTTAGTCAGCATTTGACTCAATGATAAATTGTATTTGCTGACAAGGTAATTGTATCGACCATAGAACTTACGAAATGATGACTTTCAACGAGACAGCTGATATTCTTGTTTCATCAACTTGTTTGTCAATAATTTACCTCGTTTTAGAAATTGTACATACGTAGAGCATGCTCTTGCGTATCGAATCAACTGAGAAATATATACCCCGTATGCAGGTAATGAACATATATTGCTGCATAAGTAAGGGAAGTTGACGATTTAAAAGTTAAAGTCATCACGTTTATCATAATGCTTGGTTGTTAGATAACCATTAACGTCTTTTTCAAGTAAAATATCCAAATATGAAACAGATGTGTCAGACTCTGTGGTATCTTTTATCTCAAGCTCACAAGGATATATCGTATCGACAGAATGGAAACAGCTATTGTTAATTGACAATACGTCGTCGATATATCTAAATGTCGAGTTGAAGGCCACAACAAGTGTTTTCCTTTTCTCACGTACAAGATTTGGACAAATTCTGCTTCATATGAATACAAAAAAGGTCTGCTAATAACGGGGCGCAATTGGTACCCATGGAAATTCCAATAGATTGTTGGAAGACCTGGTCTCCAAAACCACATAGATATTGTCAGTTAGAAACTCAAGCATCTTTTTAATGTCAATTTCAGAGTACAGGAATATTTAACAGAATTAATGTATTTCACTATGTTATCAATAGATACCCACCCTTAAACCAGCACATCTGACCCAGGGGCCATGAAACTCACAATTTTAGAAAAAGCACTATTGTTCATCACTATTATACACTAAGTTTCTTCACTTTAAAACCAGGAGATGAAAAAAATATTTTCAAAGAAATTATGCTTTTTCACTTTATGATCACCTTTCACTAGTACCCCCGACCCTGAGACCATGAATTTCACAAATTTCACAAATTTGAAAGAGACATCCTTGCTTATCATAACCATACACTTAGTTTGTTTAAATGATACCCTGGCGCAGAGAATGAGATTTTCGAAGAATTAATGCAATTTCACTATATAATCAATAGAGCCCCGCACTAACACCAGAACTCCTGATCCAGGGGCCATGAATTTTACAATTTTGGAAACGGCAACCTTGCTTATCATACCTATACACTTACTTTGTTTAAAAATTACCCAGAAGCAGAGAAGATTTTTCAAAGAAAAGTTGCACTTTCACTATATGATCTATATAGATCCGCCCTAGCACCAGAACCCCTGAACCTGGGGCAATGAATTTCACAGTAGAGTGGAGAACTTAATGTTTCTTATAATCATGACAAGAGTTCAACTGCTTGATGTCCGGGAGTAAAGAAGTAGATGTTAGAGATAGCACTAATTTAGATGGTTTTAGCCCCACCCTTCAGGCCCCAGAGAGACAGGAACCATGAAATTCACAATTTTGTTCCCCTTCATTTATATATGCTGTATGTCAAAATTGGTTGGAATTGGTTCAGAGAAGAATCTGAAAATGTTCAAATTAACGGACGGCGCACATCACAGGATGAAATTACACCATTCAGTCGATGGAATGGTAACTGAATGGCCACTGAAAGGTCACTGAAAAGTTCCTTTCCCGTGACTTTTCCGTGGTCTTTCAGTTACCATTCAGTCGACTGAATAGCAGATACATATCAGTGGCCTTTCAATTATCTTTCAGTTGTATCTTTTTATTGAATAATCGGCTTATTTTTTAACTTAGAAATTTTATTTCATATTTTCTTATTATATTGGTATTAAGGACCCTCTATACACTGATGAAAAATGTTTTTTGGACTTTGAGAAAATTATATAGCGTAAAGGAGGATGTTTTGAAATTAACTAATTCATTTTTAATATAGGGAGCGTGCCTTTTTTATCCAGGAAAAATCTTCAAAGATGATGAAGTAATTATAAATAAAATTCACTTTTGCTTACTCAAATGGGGAAAATAAAGTTTACAAAATATTTACAAATATCACATACAAAGATACTTGACTGTACACTTACAAAACTCTGCATGAAATCTTACCCCCAATCATAGAAGCAAAACCTTAAATAGCTGAGGGTAGGTTGATGCATATATGAAATACAGCAAGACTTGTTTATTATTTCGAATTTTCGAATATATTCGAATACACCTACCGAATATTCGAACATGAATTATTGACAATTTTGACACCATGGAGCAGAGATGTGCTTGCATTTTACTCTCACATATTTTCACAAATCTACCTTAACAGTGAAGCAGATGCAACATTTTTGTTAGGTGATTTCAAATGTCGTTCGGGAAACTTGTGAGATTTTTTCGTCAAAGTTGACAATAACAGATCTAAGGAAATCATTGACGTCATACATGACTTGATGAAATCGAATAGTCATCTGAGTTAAAGTTACCCACTTTTGTCAGCAATGCATTCTCTAAAATCAGTATTAGAGAAATGATAATATTAAATAAAAAAAAAGAAGAAGAAGAAAAACTAGAAAGTCTGCTACTGCGAGCAATAGAGTGTCACCCCGAACTAAACCATAAACTATAAGATATTAAAAAATGCTTAAAAATGTGAATATTCGTAGAAAAAAGCCCCCTTCCCTTTCACACACAAAGGAAACGGTTGAGACTATCTGGTACCGCTTGCAGGGTGGCTGGCAGGATTTATCTCTCCATAAGTGCGTACGAGTTATCTCGCATTACAACGGTGGTAACCATGAATTTATACCCTTATTAAAAAGTTCCACATCAATCGTTCTCTAGAAAGGTTAATGTTTATTTAATATGTAAAACGTAATAATTAAGAAAAATAAAGGGAGATAGACAATTAAAGTCCTTTAATTGTTGATTTGGGAGCATATAGTGCATTCGAACTTGGGGGGGGGGGGGGGGGGGCGACGGGGTATCGTCATAATAATTTTAACATTATATAATATTTACTTGAAAAGAAAGATGTCTTACGGAGCTCTCTCTCTCTCTCTCTCTCTCTCTCTCCACAAAAAAATGTATGATGAAGTTTTTAAATTATTTCATTATATATATATATATATATATATATATATATATATATATATATATATATATAATTTTATGTACATATTTATTTTTATTTATTTATTTATTTTTGTAAATACACACCTTTTGTTTATCACTCGAGACTGCGATGTTTTCAGTTACCTTTTGCTGTTATTCTTTTCTTTTGACAAATGTTCACTCGCTTTGTCATTCTCGCAGACATGGCACGATAACCGAACGTCTTTTTTCTTGAAATTGAAACCCTTATAAATCAAAGTACAAAAAATTAGGGAATTTTAAATCCCCCTCCATGTATCAGCGAATGCCGGTGTGCAAAGACTCTACATAGATCTTTTATTATATACTTATTTCAATTTAATCAAGGGTCGAGAGGAAGTGTTTTTGAATGTCTCCAAGTTATTACGAGTTCTCTATGTCTCTCTGTCTGACGGTAGTGAACCACTGCCTCAATCCGTGCTTTCTGTGTTCTACATTTAATCTAATTTTCAGACACTCTTCGTTAGCTTTCTAGTCATCATATTCTAATTCACCGAAAATTTTTCTGTTTTTTAAAAATACATTTCATCTCATATTTTCACAGTGAACTAACAATTCCATGATAACCTTGTACAACTTACTAATAATGATAGCGTTTATAACATAGGTCCAACTTGTGTAGCATTTCAAAACTATCCCCAAAAAAAAATTCCCCCGATGAAAAAACTAAAATTCTTAAACCAGTATTTAATAGTGATATTTATTTTCTTTAATACATAATATGAATAGAGGAATGTTTTAAC